AGCAGGGTCAGCCAGGTTTGTAGGTACCTACAGACACAGGTGCCTGCAGGGAGACTCAGCAATTCTCTCGGCAAATGACAAGGGTGACAAGTGGCTTTTTGGGAGCAGTTTCAGGTTTACAGAAACATGAACAAAGCACAGAGAGTTCCCTTATACCCCTTCATTGCCTTCTTCCCCAGTTTTTCTTATTAACATCTTGCATTGGTAGGGCACATTTGTTACAATTGATGAACCAATTCTGATACATTATTATTAAAGTCCATAGTGTACATCAGGATTCACTCTTGGTGGTGTTCATTCTGTGGGTCTGGACAGATGTATAATGACTTGTGCACATCAGGATTCACTCTTGGTGGTGTTCATTCTGTGGGACAGATGTATAATGACTTGTGGCCACCATTATTGTCTCATATAGATTAATTTCACTGCCCTAAACATCCCCCATGTTCCACCTGTTCATCCTTCCCCCCAACCCCTGGCAACCACTGACCTTTTCACTGTCCCCATGGTTTTGCCTTTTTCAGAATGTCATGTAGTTGGATTCAAAGTCTGTAGTCTTTTCAAATTGACTTCTTTCATTTAGCAATATGCATTTTAGTCTCCTCCCTGTCTTTTCATGGCTATGTAGCTCATTACTTTTCACCATTGAATAATATTCCATTGTCTGGATGCACCACAGTTTGTTTATCCATTCACCTATTGAAGGTCATCTTGGTTGCTTCCAAGTTTTGGCAATTATGAATAAAATTGCTAAATATTGTGTGCAAGGTTTTGTGTGGACTTAAGTTTTCAACTCCCTTGAGTAAATACCAAGCAGCAAGGTTGCTGGATCACATATTAAGAGTATATTTAGTTTTGTAAGAACCCCCCAGGCTGTCTTCCAAAGTGGTTGCACCATGTTGCATTCCCACCAGCAGTGAATGAGAGTTCCTGTGGCTCCACATCCTCGTCCGCATTTCATGTTGTCGGTGTTCTAACAGGTGTGGCTTTAGCTTTTGTAGTTCTCGTTTGAGGCAGATGTGTGATTTGCAGCTGTGATTTGTGCTCGAGGAGAGCACAACCATTGATAGATGGGCCACTGACTGGTCACGGAGGGTGGGAAGTAAACCAGTTGTCCCTGTGGCACCAGTGATGACTCACCGGATGGTGGTGGAGAAATGGGTTAAACCCTCAGGACTCCCAGGAAGCCCATTTTGGAAGGTCAGCACTGATGGTTCCTTTACAATAACAGCACCCCTACCCCCAACTTTTCTGGATGGTTTTTCAGATGGGCTCTTAAGGAAATCACTCCATTAGTTGCAAAAAGAGCCAGGTGTTGTACGTGATCTTCAGCTAAGCCCGGCACACCCTAGGGCCAGAGAGGAGGAAAGTCCCATGAAACGGGAAGGAAAGTTGCCCTAAGATGTAGCTGACAGGGCGCCAACCACCTGTGCCTCCTTGTTCAGAGGTCTTGTCCTCACAGGCTCACTCAGTCCCATGCCACCAGTGTAGAGGTGCCTCACCAGAGAAGGAGAAGGCGAAGGGACGGCTGCCCCCCAGCAGCTTCATCACCCGCCAGATGTATATAGCCTTCTGGGCTCTGTCGCTCTCACTCTATCATACATGTGCACATGCATGCAAACATCCCTCCCTCCACACATGTGCAGGATGGTGTATAGTGAAGACAGTAGGCGCCCAGGCTCTGAAGACAGGCTGCCTGGGCTGAGGTGGGTGCTGATGTACCAGAGCCCTGGGCAGGTTTGGTCTTGCTGCTCACCTTGCCTCTCACTGTTTAGGCTGGCAGACTCCTGGTCCGCGACTTGTGTGGGGTCGAAGGCCTCTGCTGAGATGGGCCTCAGTCATTATTGCAATTCTGAGGCCTTTTGTAGTTAGGATGTGCTTAATTAATTGATCCATTCTGTTGTCTCATGAAGTGTCAAATGAAAAGGCATTTTTATTTGATAATCATAACAGAGACCTGTGTAATGATAAGAATGGTGAATTCTATGTGGTTCTTCTCTTTCCAAATTCAGACTGGTTGCAGATTAGTTGTCTAGAGCCTAGGAATATTTTCTTGGGTCACTTAACATGCTAAAAATACCTTTTGATGGGGCTCTGTAGTTTGCCAAAACCGCCCACCCCCTCTTCCCTCTTGTACTTGTATCTGGTTTGCTTTACTCGAGGCTGGACCTGCAGTGGTCCATTTTAGAGGTGCGCTGGGGCAGAAGACTGTTATGCGCTTGATAGGACCATGCGTGCACGTTGTCAGAATCTGGTTTTGCCATTGCCCCATAGTTACATAGGATGTAACCATTGGGGAGACTGGGCCAAGGGTATATACGGCCAACCTCTTGGTATTGTCTTTGCAATTTCATGTGAATCTAAAATTACTTAGAAAAAATGGGCCTCGTCCTGTCGCGAGATGGGGGATCAGGAGCCAGTTGCATTTTGGAGCGGCCAGTGTGTCCTCCAGGTGTTGGAGTTTTATTCAGAAGCAGTTCCAGGGACCTGGAAGTGTTCATTTCCCACGAAGGCACACAAGTTCATTCGTACAAACTTGGCTGGGATGAGTTTATGGCTCCCAAAGGTGTCCGACCCAGTGGTTTGATATATTATCCTTCATGGCTCCTCCTCATTTTGATGGAAGTCAGATTTATATTAAAGATCTTGGCTTTTATCTGTTAGGTCTGATATTTAGATAGTCTTAAGACCTGATTAAAAGATTGATCCAGATCAGAAGACAAGCAGCCCCTTTTCATTTCAGTGCTGACTGCAGAGTTGAAGATGAATAAGGGAGCCGAGGGTTGGCCTGTGTGGTGGGAGCAAGTGAGACAGAGCAGCCAGATGTCGACGTGACGCGCCTGTCAGCCGGCCGGAGTGAGCCTGCCCAGCCTGCCTCTTGGGGGACGCTCTGCCACAAACCATGTTGAATTATACCACATAGAAATGCATATAAATGTTCTTTCCTTAGTTTTCAGGTCATATGTGACTTGAATTCACAGGTGGAGATTAGGGCTAGCCTGGGATGAGTGACAAGACTCTGGTTAGGGAGCCCAAGAAAACAAGTGTAAATCCGCGTACGTCGGGAATATTTTTTTCTCCCACAGGCCTTTTCAGGGCTTGTTAGTTGTTTAGCTTCAGATGTTTGCTATTCATATCACAGACAGAGAAAGTGCAGGTACCTGTAGACACACCCATGGTAGGCTGTCAAGGGGGAGGAAGCTAATTAAGGGGCTCCTCTGTACTCTCCCTCTGAAGCTTCTGAGATGAGTGTGGAGTTCTCAGGGGACACCTAAGTATATGGTAGTATATCCGCAGTTGGTGTGGATGTTCTTTCTGCCAAAATAGTGCAGAAAAGCAAAATACAAACACAATGCTGTCTTTGCGGGCAGAGATGTAGTCAAGTGCACTGAAAGCAGACGGCAGAGCCAGCGATGGGCAGTCTCAGGCTTTCTCCTGAGTAAATTGTGGCATATCCATATCAAGGAATGGCACTTGCATCCATAAATAGACCGAGTTAGAGGCTTCTAGTGGTGAGTTCTTAAATGAGACAAACCCAGTTGTTGAAAAATTTATAATCCGGTTTTATAAAGTAAACTCTACCTGAGTATATCAGGTTTGTAGTTAGTGACTGTGAGCATGGAGGGTGGCATTAATATGTATACCAGGTTTTTAACATTGATTAATTACCATGGGAAAATGGTGATGGAACAGTAAACAAGGGAATAACACTTCGAACAGAAAAAGATTAAAGGAGTGTGAAAGATGTTTTATCCACATAAAATTATATTTAGGAGTGTGTGTGTGTATGCATGCATGTCTAGTGAGGGGTATGATAGAAAAGTCATAAAAATGTTGGGTTTATTTTCAAGGTGTTGGATTTTCAGCTGATTTTCACATTCCTTCTTAAATGTGTTCTAATTGAGTATTTTCAAATGAGCATTTTTACTTTTAAATTTATTTTTATAAGCATAAAAGAAACCCAATCTTACAGCTGTTTTGCTGTGAGGAATGCTCTAGCTCATTGAAAGGCATTCAGGCGTAAGGGTTTTGAGGGGAGGAGCAGAACCAAAAATGTGGAGGAAGCACCTCTGGCTGGGGTAGCTGGTGAGCAGCCAAGTCTAAATCCTACAGGAGACAGAGAAAAGCTCTGCTGAGCCGTGGGGGCCGACAGACCTGTGTTTCGATCTCTTTAGTGTGTCTTACTTGTGACCATGGTTGGAGACCTAATCCATATCCCAATTCCTCTCCTATAACATGGGAAGAATATAATAGTGTCATCGTGCCTGACACATCATAGGCACTTAATAAACCTTTTCCCACTGAATGAAGAATGAAAAAATGAATGAGTGCGTGCTTGATTCATCAAGGTCACATGTGTTAGTCTGAGCTATGTCATAAATACTCAATAAATGATAGTTTTCTGCCCCTGATCCCCATGTTCTTTTTCTTAGCCAGTGTACCTGGAGAGGGAATTGAGCAGAGTGTGGCGTCTTGTAGCCTGAGTTCCATGCTTCACAGCACGGTCTTACATGGGGAGTGGGGGTAGACTTGGTGAACTGCTTCTCTTCTTTATGCCTCATCTCTAAAATTGATGTTCTGATAATACCTTGGAAGAATTAAATGAGATACCTAAAGACTTCACATGATGCCTGGAAAATAATGAATATCCAGTACATTTTGTAGTTAATAAAGATATTAAGAGTATCCCCCAGGTTGAATATACAGTACTTGGTTTGTTATTCTGTAAATGGAGAGTATATTACAGAGTGCCTGGCACAGAATAGTAACCTAACAGATTGATAGATTCAAGTAACCTGAGCATAGCACATCAGCATCCTGATTTTATGGGCATTGAAACCAGTTAGCTCATTTCCATCATGAAAGAACAGTTCTTGAAGGCATTCTGCAAATGTGCTTTGCTAACTCATCTTTTCACACAGACCCCCTCCCCCAACCCCTGCCTTCAGTCTAATTGCCAAATTTTTAAAATATTGTTTTAAACATTCTTCTACCTGCAGGGAAAATGAGGTGCTCAAAGTCCAGCTGAAGAAGTATGTAGGAGCTGTCCAGATGCTGAAAAGAGAAGGTCAAACAGCTGAAGGTGAGGGGGAGACCAGCCAGGGTGGGTGGGGGCCCAGCCTTTGCATCTTTATCACCCCCATGCCTGGCGCATAGTAGACACTCAACAGGTAACAAGTGCATATGCAGATGGATTAGAAAAGCAGGATTCTGAAAAATTAATTAGATGGAAAACCCTGCTGTGTATTCTTGTTAAACTAATATTGTAAGACTTAACTTGCTAGATTATTAACAACAGTCATATCAATTTGTGTACTTAGGGAATTTTAAGTCTAGAGTCTTGGGACACCACTTACAAGGTAGTGAACCTTGCAGCATGATTAAGTCGCATAGGCTAGGGGTGAAAGCAGCAGAACGCCAACGCAGCGGAGATTCAAGCTCTGGACTTAGGCTGACCAGCTTCCAGCCCAGCTCTGGTTAAGTTTCTTAATCTCTCTCCACCTTCGTTTCTCATCTGTAAAGTAGGACTCGTTGATAATGCCTACCTCATGAGGCAATCCACGTAGACAGCATAATGCCTACCATAGAGTAAGTACTGAGTAAATGTTAGCCATTACTAATATTATTAATCAGAAATACAAGTAGACAGAAAATTGATTACTTGGCTGACATAGCCTTTCTCCAGATGGTCAGATGCAACGGAGGAGGCGTCCACTCACTGAACCACACTCCTGCCCCAGCTCTGCTGCCCTAGGACCGTCCTCAGGAGGCCCCTCAGTAGCTGCAGTCATCACAGCTCTTGGTGAAGGGCCTCCATCCTGGGGCCATGTGCCTGTGAGGAGACCTCCACCACAGTAATGCCCTCAGCCTCCTTTCCCACCTCCTACCTGATTGCTGAGCTTCTCAGTTGGGTAGAGTTGATGCATTATAACAGCATCCTGCTTTTATGGGCACTGGAACCAGTTAGCTCTTCCCATCATGAAAGAACAGTTCTTAAAGGCATTCTGCAGATGTGCCTTTGCTGACTCTTGTTGTAGTGGACATCTTTGTCCTCTGTAGTGCCCGCCCCACTTGCTCCGGTTTTCATATGACCAGCATCCTCACTCAGTGTCAGTCCCGTGACAGAGGTGGGGCTCCACCCTCTGCCCTGTGCTTGACCTTAGCTGGTGCTCTTGCTGGGTCTCAGGCTCTGGGAGGCCACAGAAAGGGTTCTTCCTCTCTGTTGGGTCTGGGAGGCTGGGAATGAGGCCATCACATAGAGAGAGGAGCTGAGCTGAGAGGCAAAGAGGAACCGAGTCTGATCAGGTCCTTTGAGCCCTTGAATTCAGCTGTACCTGATGTGATAGTCCAACTCTGAACTTCTTGTTGATTATAACAACAACTGCACCAATCCCCCGCCCCTCTTTTCCAGCTTGACTTGAGTTTTGAAAGTTCATATGGTCCTGGCCAACTGTTAGCTCCTTACTGGATACGGCGTCCATCCTGTCCTTGGGGAGGGAGGTGTTTCTCCGGAGTCTGCCTTTCCAAATGCGCAGTGTCTGCTGCTGTGTGTGAGGCTCTTCCTCTCGGCCTCCCTCTTGCTAGGTTCACTCCACTGTCATCTGTCCCGGCCACCACAGGCCCGTCCTGTAGTGATGGATTTAAGGCTGCAAGCTCCTGTTGGCGTCCCCCTTTAATTAATCTGCCGTAGGCTCAGGGACAGGGGGAGAAGAAATGGCCTGTTGCGAGTGGCGATCAGAGTAATCGGGAGATTTACTGGGAGGAACTTGACGTATGAGGGAGGCTTGGGAGCAATTCTTTAAAAGTTTGCTCTAAGAAACAAAAGTGGTAATAAAACACGAAGTCATAAACCTCGCTCACGTGTTGCATCTCTGCATGCATACGGCTTGCTCTCTGACCCCCTGTTCCACACTGCATGTACTTCATCCTCTCACTTCGGGGTCTTGGTTCCCTGGGCTCCAGAAAAGAGGGCTCGACGGTCAAGGAGATGGTTGGTCATGGGTGAGAGGGTTCTAGGGGGGCATTGTTTCAACCTCAATTATGTAGGCCTTGGGCTGTCTCCTCTTGGTCAGCCCCCAGTGTGCACAAAGGCAAGGACATCTTTGTTTGGGGCCGGCTTCTTGAGTCGTAAGGAAAGCTAGCTCATGACTGTGCGTGTTTGTGTCTGGCTCTAGAGGGCTAAACACCAGCCTCATGGAATGATGAATCACATCCCATCACGCTGCTGCTTAGAACTCCGTGCACACTCTTTGATGGTGGCCTCAGGCTCGGTGTGATCTGGGGCTTCCCCATGCTCTGGCCCCATCTCCCTCCACCCTCCCCTCGCTGTCTCACCCCAGCCATAGTGGCCTTCAGGCTGATTCCTCCCTCAGGGCCTTTGCAGCGACTGTCCCTCCGCTGGGCTGCTCCTCCCTGTCTCTGCGTGGCTGAGCCTGCCTAGGCCAGCAGGTCTCTTTCAGATGCCACCTCCTCTAACCCCCCTGGCTCACCCTGTGCCTTCTCCTTCACTCTTTATTCCATCACTTCCTTTATCGTCATCACAGCACTTGTCAGCACCTCAAAGGCTCCTGGTTGTGGATTCCCTTCCTTCTTTGCTGTCTGTCCCACCCTGCACTGGACAGTCCACAAGAGCAGGGGCCTTGCCTGTGTTCCCTGCTGTGTTCAAAGCACCTTGAGCAATGCTTGACCCCTTGGCACTCCATTCGTATTTATAACACGAGGAGTGGAAACCTAAGAGCAGCTGTTGTAGGACCTGGCCAGGTGACTGAAGGTCCATGGCAGTGCCACCCAGTGATGTGCCGTGCCCCTCTAACTACTGCTTTCTGCTATGCCTCCGACCAGATTCTTCGGATCCTTGTGGCTACACTTAGCACATGACTTGATTCTCCCACGGTTTCACTATTCTTTGGTGACAAGAGTCATAAGATTCACTTTAACCCGGCTTAAACAAAACAGAAGTTAGGAGTTCCATCTGCAGGGACAGCTTGATCCAGGTGTTCAGACAATATCAGGATTATATTTCTCCCACATTTCTCAGTTCGTTCTCTCTCTCTCTCTCTCTCTCTCTCTCTCTCTCTCTCTTCTTACTCCCTCCCCCTCATGTATTGGCTGCGAGTGCTGGTAAATGTTTAACGCCCAGCCCTCTGGGGAGTAAAGAGTGCTTGCTGATTCCCATGGTGTACATGCGCCCACTGTGCTGATGGCAGGCTCGTCGCTGTGTCACGAGTGCAGAGCGGGAAGAGGTGCACACATGCACACATGGGGCTCCTTGCGCTGATGCCCAGGTCTGCGCCCCGCTGTGTGTTGGCTCCATTCTCAGGCAGGTGATCTCATACTGGCAAGAGGCTGCCAGCAGCTCTGGTTTAATCTTCTCAGCAACCCGGCAGAAGGGAGCTGCTCTTCCCACTGGTTTCCTTATAAGCCATTCTACTCTCTCTCCCATGTAGAGCCCTGGTTCTTAATCTTGGCTCCACATCAAGTCATCTGGGGCCATTTTAAACATCCCAGTGCTTGGCCCCTTGGAACCACAGCCTTGGAGGATGTCTTTTTCAAATTAATGGCCTTCAGGGTCAGCCAATATGTTGCAAATGTGCCAGCATTCTCTGATTCTCCACCAGCAGTAGCCATCTCAAGTCAATCAAGGTGACTTTTTTTTTCCTTAAATTCAGATTTGGTGTCGGCACTTGCCTCTCTAAATAGGTCCCACCAATGAAGAGGACCGGGTTGGGGGCAGGGAGTGTAGTGGAAGCTGTTCACCATCACTGCATGAGCTAATTCGGTGCGTCCACTGTGCCCACCCACCCTGCCCTCTCCGGGATCCAAAGTGAGTGTTAATACATCTCACCTCTTCACCTTCCACTGAAACGTGGCCTTTTCATCTCTGTCCAGCACCCTCTCCCTCTCGCTCCTCAGCACGAGGCTCCATCGCAGTCACGCTTGTCTCCGATGTGCCCCCACCTGACCACTTTCTGATCCTCTCTGCTCATCCGATTTCCTCTTCTGGAAATGCCACTCCCCTTATCCTCATCAGCCCAGATGTTGTGTTTATTGTGAGAGCCAGCTCTTCTCCTGTCACTTAAATCTAATCACCCTTGCCCTTTCAGTTTCCTAAACTCCTGTTACTAATGATGAGTAGTAGCCAAGGTCTAGCGTTCCACTGTTTGCTCTCACGAGGGAGTTTGCTGTTCTGTCTTGTGTATGTAGTCTGACCACACAGAGAGGATGATCTGCAATTTAAAAATTGTTTTAGTGTGTGTTGGCCAAGTACACAATCGGTGTTTAATCAACACCTGTTGCCAGATTCTATCCAAATCCTCTGAGGCATGATTTCAGAGTGATAGCAAGTTAACGTAGATGGGAACAGCATTCTCTGAGAAGGAACAATGTTTGGAGAAGTGATGTTACATACTACGTAGGAGGAAGAGGATGATAATTATTGTTACTCCCCTTTCTTCCAGAAGTGACCCACACACTCTGCTCATGATGCATTGGTGAGGACTGGTCATATGGCCCCACCTAGATGCAAAGGGGTCTGGGAAGGGCTGTGTCTGGCTGGGCTGCTGCCACAGCAAGAAAGGTAATGCCATGGCAGGGAGCATGGTTCATGCTGCTGTTCTGGGCACTCACTTCAATGCACGTGGTTTCCATCTTCTAAGCCATTTGTGCGGCTCCTTAGAAAGGAACCTCATACCCACCCAGTACTCTTATTTTTGGGTTTGTGCTCTTAGAGTCTCAGAAGGAATGCCCAGTAGCTTGTAAGAGTCTGCAGTAGAAAGAGTGTCTAAGGATGTGGCAAAGGCATGTCTGTCAAAAATAACCGATTTTCTAGTCAGTCATTAATTGGGATGAAGAGACCATGTTGTCCTTCTCCCTTTTCTGAAAGGTGTTTCTGTTTCCCCTTGTAACACCCCAATTCATAGACGCATACATATACACACACATACATGTATATACACACATGTATATATGCATACATACACATCTGTCTATCTATCATCTATCTATCTATCTATCTATCTATCTATCTATCTATCTATCTATCTAGAGTTGATTGACTTGAAGGAATTGGCTCAAGCTATTGTG